TTATACCTCCTCTAAAATAGTTCACATTGCTTTCTTACTGAGAGAGACTGGATCATGAGGGCATGAATACAGTGAAAAGGGGGAGGGAACCCAGCTGTATCCAGGAGAGCCCTGACATAAAGAGCCCAATAAAACACACACACACTGTAACAAAAAAGCTCATAAGACTTTGTTGGTCTTAAAGGTGCCTGGTATTTCTCCCATGCGATTGAGGCAGCCCAGCAAAGCGAGCTCTCGTTCCCTCCCTCCCTTTAGGGAGGAGCCTCAGCCAGTGGAAGGGACGAAAGGCTTCCCTTTGTCTCCTGCAGCCTGGCCAGGAAGCCAGCTCTGGCTGTTCCCTCCCTCCCCTTGGTAGGAGGAGGTGGAGGAGCCAGTTCTTTACCAGACTCTCTCAATCGCACAGGAGAGGCTTGCCATCCATCTCTCCTGTGTGACTGAGAGAGACTGATAAAGCAATCTGTGACTTGGCAGCAGCAAGAGAATTGGAAAAGAAAGTAAGGAACAGCCAGGTCCTTGCGGGCCAGAAAAGGGCCCTCCGAGGGCCTGATCTGGCCCCTGGGCCGCATGTTTGACACCCCTGGTGTAGTGGAAACTATGAACAATGTAATAAAACTCGATTGCGCAAGTTAAAGAGCAGTGAAATAGAAACTGTGTAGTAACACTGCATAAACTGGATTTCACAATCAGACAACAAAAGAGTCATTAACCTGGATTCCACAGGTACAGGATGCTGAACTACAGACAGTGCAGTACATTCAATAGGCAATGCGTTATGAAGGCGGGAGGCAAAGAAGCCGGGAAGCTAACCTTCAAGCGGGGCCTGGAGACCTCCTCGCATTACAACTGATCTCCAGACTACAGTGATCAGTTCCCCTGGTGAAGACAGCTGCTTTGAAGGGTGGATTATATGGCGTTATACTCAGGGTTGCCAACCTCCAGGTTGTGGCTGGAGATCATCCGAAGCTACCACTGAACTCCAGGCTACAGGCATCAGTTCCCTTGGAGAAAACGGCTGCTTTGGAAGGGGAACAGACTCGATGGCATTATACCCCCCCAAGGCCCCTCCCCTTCCCAGGCACCACACCCAAACCTCCCCAGAACTTCCCAACCTGGAGTTTGCAATCCTGGAAAGAATGTTGGCTAACAATTTTACAGTCCCTCTGGCACAATCCCATTTTACTACATCCCTGTTCCCTCCCTGCAAACACCCTCCCGGAACAGTTCCATTTGGTACATTCTGAGGGGTGATGAAAGGGTGGGAGCTCTCCTGATAGGGTTGTCGGGTCCCGCCTGGCCACTGGCAAGGGATGGGTGTGTGTAGCCCCATCCAGGTTGGGAAGCTCCTGGAGATTTGGAGGTGGAGTCTGGGGAGGACAGGGATTTCAATGGGGCAGGGTAGGAGCTTTCGTGGGTCACTGAAGTATCTGAAGAAATGAGGAGTGTCTCACATATTCTCTTAGTCTTTAGGGTGCTACTGGACTCTTGCTCTTGTCTTTTTTTTTTCTTTTTTTCAAATTTTAAAGTTTTATTAGATATAAATGAAGTTACATAAAATACAAATAGTTACAAAAGGTTTGTCATTAAACAATAAACAACGGCATTCCACCTAGATAATTATTTACCATTAAACTGTTACAATGAGCAGGTCTTACATATATTTTGATAAGGTAATAACAGTCATAACCAACTTTTAAACGATGAATATACAAGCTTAAATACGTATTCAGAAACACTCTCTAAATTTTTCTAAAATAAATCAACATGTAATAAACCACCGTATATCTGACTTATTGATGACGTTAATCTGTGAAAAATTCGTGTGCCCCAGAAAAAAATCTACAAAAGGTGGCCATTTTAAAACAAAACAAGATTTACGTTTTTCTGCATTAGCATGTTCGAGATCCACCGTTATTTTGTCAAAAACAAAATAATCCCAGGACTTGTATAACCATTCGTACAGAGTGGGTACCTCTGTACTCTTGCTCTTGTCTAATACTAATTGGTTTTGGAGATGTCTTTTGTACTTTAAAACTATTTGCCTGTCTCTTTGAGGCTAACTGATGGTCAACGGAAATGGACCCTCCGTGGCCTTACTACAGCTCAAAGACTTTTTTTTTAAACGACAAGTCTTTATTAATTTTCCAACAATACATAACAACATAGGATTCTTTATACACATTTTTTGTTCCAGTCAACAAATCCAATACACATCTATGCAGATTTCAACTAATTATCCCTTCTGTGCCTCATTCTCCAGCCATGCATAAAATTTGAACCAAATATTCTTATATGTACATTCTTCTCTCCCTTGTAACCTCATTGTCAAGTTATCCATTTCTGCAATCTCTGTAAATTTTTCTATGAGTTCCTCCCTTTCTGGAATCGTTTCCAGCTTCCAATATTTTGCCAGGGTGATTCTTGCTGCAGTGAGCAAGTGGGTGGTTAGATGTTCATCTACTTTTCCCAATTATCCGGCATTATGTTCAATAAAAATATCTCCGGAGCCATAGGAATTGGCTTTTTAAGAATTTGTACCATAATACTATGTATCTCTTTCCAAAACTTTTGAATTTTAGTACACCTCCACCAGACATGAAAATAAGTACCCTTCTCAGTTTTACATTTCCAGCACTTCTCCGATACATTGGAATAACACTTTGCTAACACCACTGGGGCAAGGTGCCAGCGATGAAACATTTTAAAAAGATTTTCCTTCATGGAGCTCAAAGACTTGTATTAAAGTTTTGGAAAGATAAAAGCACACCTCTGGTAAATCAATGGACTAAGGACTTTATAACTCTACCTAATATTTGAATGCATGGCACTAGACAGCAATTGCACATGGACATCACTTCCGGAATTGATGTCATCATGTTGTCGACATCCTCACCCACCCTCGAAACACCCCCCCAAGCCCCCCCCCCAGCATCAGGTAAGGACCTGGCATTAGAAACTTACGTGTAGATCTTCCACCACTGTTGTTTTTACTTTGTTTTTGTCTTTACTTTGTGTGTGTATGTATTTCTAAGTATTTTTCTTTGTTTTTCCCTTTTTTTGAAAGAAATAAAAATGAATAATAATAATAAAAGAGAGCAATTGAATCTGAGTGATCAACACATTTAAAAGGTCTGTATGTCTATTTATAATTAGTCTGTGCCCTCTGCCTTCTGTCCAAGTGAGAAAGGTGGACTATAAATGTAAATATTTGAATTACCAAAGGAAGGCTGGGATAATTTAAAATTAAAATGTAAAAGCAGGGCTATTTTTGAGCAGGAACGTACAGAACGAGTTCTGGCTGGCTTCAAAGTTGGCCACACGCCAAGGGAAGGCATGGGCGTGGCCTAATATGCTAATGAGCTGTGCAGTCAGGAGTGTGGTCTAATATGCTAATGAGTTCCTGCTGGGCTTTTTCTACAAAAAAACCCGTGTAAAAGTACAGTACACTGTGGTGGTTCAAGTGGTTAAGACGCTGAACTGCAGGCTGTGGAAGGTCAGTAGTTCAGCAGTTCGAGACCCGAGTTGTCGCATGACGGAGTGAGCTCCCGTCTCTAGTTCCAGCTCCTGCCAACCTAGCAGTTCAAAAGCAAGACATTGCAAGTAGATAAATAGGTACCACTTTGGTGGGAAGGTAACAGCGTTCCGTGCGCCTTGGTGTTTAGTCATGCCGGCCACATGACCACGGAAACGTCTTCGGACAGCACTGGCTCTTCGGCTTGGAAACGGAGATGAGCACCGCAACCTTAGAGTCGGATTCGACTGGCTTTCGAGCAAGGGAGACCTTTACCTTTACTAAAAGTAAAAACATGAAAGCTGCTGCTTATTGTTAGTAAAAAAAAAAGTCCTGGAGTATTTTCTTTACTTGTTTGCAGTTAGTATCATAACAGAGCAGCAGAAAGGAAGGGCAATCTCCACCTGTAGTATTGATAGTACAACGCAATGCTGCATAATAATGCCAGTGTAAGTCCGTTGATTTTAATAGGCCAGAGGTACTCTGCAAAAGGCTGCTTTGTAAATAAAGTTAGGATCCTAAGCACAAAGGCCTGTGTAAACTAAGGCTGATAAGGATAAAAGGGCAAGATAAGGTTGGCTCTGCTATCATCTTGAGGTTTTTAAACAGTTCTGTTGTTTAATGGGATGGGCTGTATAATTCAAGATGATCGGGGCTTTTTCCCTCGCAAAAAGAGGTGCCGGAACTTTCAAGAGGGAAGTGATTTTTTCAATCTGTATACTGAAAACTCATGAACTTTTAAACATTTTTACAAGAATTTTGTCACAGAGGTTCCAGAACTGCATTCCAGTGTGTTCCCCCAGGGAAAAAGCTCTGAAGAGGATAGTTTCTGATAGGTCAGTTATGTTCCCTGACCTGGATGGCCCAGGCTAGCCTGATCTGGTCAGATCTTGGAAGCTAAACAGGGTTGACCCTCCTTAGTATTTGGATGGGAGACCATGTCGCGGATGTGAACCACCTCTGAACAGTCTTACGGTGCTACTGGACTCGAATCTTGCTAACTCAAGACGAGATTGCCAGCTTGGGGTGTTCTCGGCTCTCGGACGTGTGACACGTGCAAAGTAAGCAAGGGAAGCTTTGACTGGTTGCCTTTTGCCAACGTGCCAGGAAATGGGTTGCATAATCAACTTCTGCCTGTCATAGGCTGCTGTTAAAGGCAGCCCCGGAGCAGAGCGCCAGGAAGCGACGAAAAACGGACTTCATTTCCCAGCATGCCGTTTCAGCGCGCCTCTATCCGGTCTTTCCGCTGTAAAACTACAGCTCCCATGATGCACCTGTCAAAAACGGCCGGGGAAAAAAAAAAGCTCATCAGCTTTCCCTTTCCTTTCGGGAATCGTAGTTCAAAGGCCCTCCCTCCCCGAGTCCTTGCAATGAGGGGGAAGGCCGAATGCGGACTCCAATTCCCAGCATGCCTTTCCCCCCCTTTTCCCGCCCGCTCGCCCAGCTCCATGCCTGCAGGGGTTGCTCTGCGGGACCAGATGGGATTGGGGCGGGAGGTAGGAGGAGGCTTGATGTTATTCCTTCGGAGGTGGTAGCTGCGAAAGCCGTCAAGCTGGAGGCGGCCGGTAATGGGCCCTTTTGCTCTTATGGGGAATGTGGGACTCCCTTGTAGGGGTGGGAGAGATCCCTGGAAGATAATGCGTGGATAGCAGCCTCCGGGCGGGGGGAAACGTTGGGAGCCTCATGCACGGGTCGGAATTCAGCTTGCGTCCCGCGAAAGTTGGGGTGCCTGTGAGGGCGAGAGCTTGGGATGCGGGCGGAGGGATCCTGTCCCGGAGAAGGCAGGGAGCCCCCTAGAGGGATGAAGCGGCGAGAATGCGCGCAGCCCCGTGTGCGGATCGGGGGTGAACTTGGGTCCCTTGTAGGGCTGGGGCGCCTGTGGGGGAAAGAGCAATGCAGCCTTGTAGAGGGATGGCGCCGGGACTTTTTAGAAGGGGGGAGGCGATATGGGGACACTTCACTGAAGACCCTTCAAATATGGGGACCCTCCGCCGGGTGACTACATATTGCCCCATAGATGCGTGGGGAGAATGAGGGATTAAGATGGGCCTCCTGTGCAATGCTTCTAAAAAACCCCCACCTTTAAGAAGAGAACTTGGAGTTAAGTATATGGATGAGTTTCTCCCCGTGGTCAGAAGTGGGGCAGGGGGCCCTCTAGACTGGAGCAGAGAACCTGGACTCCGGGTCGCATCGGTGCTCTGGGTGGTGCAGGAAGTTCCATATGTGGGTGGGGGATCCTTTGTGGGGAAAACGCATGGAGTTGCCGGTGGACAAGAGTTCATAGTGCCTTCTGTATGGATTGTGAGAGTTTGGGCCCTATATAGGAACAAGGTGCCTTTGGTGAAGGATGAACGGAGTATGGTAAAGGGAGCTCCCGTGGCGATTGGGGCTTTTTTAGGTAAGAGTGCATAAAGTCTCAATCAGGGATGGAGAGACCGTGGGGATGTTCATGGAGAGGAAGGGACAGGGCAGAGAGACTTCTCTTGGGGTTGGGTTTAGTGTAGTGGTTTGGTGTCGTGGTTAAGTGCGCGGACTCTAATCTGGGAGAACCGGGTTTGATTCACCACTCCTCCACTTGCACCTGGCTGGGTGGCCTTGGATAAGCCGTAGCTCTGATGAGGAGCTGTTCTTGAAAGAGCAGTTTCTGTCAGAGCTCTCTCAGCCCCACCTGCCTCACAGGGTGTCTGTTGTGGGGAGGGGAAGGGAAAGGAGTTTGTAAGCCGCTCTGAGACTCCTTTGGGTAGTGAAGGGCAGGGTATAAATCCAATCTCTTCTTCTTCTTCGGGTTGAGAGAGCATGCGGAGCCTCCTGTAGAGAAGGGGAAAACTTGGCAGTTTCTAGAAATGGAGGTCTTGGGGTGGTCCCTTATAGAAAGAGGTGAGAGCAGAAAACGCCTTTGAGAATGACTGCAGGATAGACGAAGACGTGTAATGGGATGTTTGGACAGGACGCTGTTCCGCCACACCGTGCAAGGTAGATTCCTCAAAACGGATTACTCAATGTTTTCCGGAGTTCCTCCTAGGTTACCGCACCATGCTGAAGCTTGTTGGCAATCCTGGTCGGCACAGCGATCTTAACTTTCCTCAGTCGCCTGTCACGTGCCCCAGATACGCTTCCAAGAAAGGCAATGTCTTCTTGCAGCAAAGAGTTATGGAACTCGCTGCTGCAAGTTGTAAAGTTGTTAAAGAGGGGGATTGGGATTGGACATTCCTGAAGGAGGAATTGATGCTGCAGCCGTGCAGTATGCTTGTGGGTACCGGATGCCGACGCTTTCATGCCCTGCTTGTGAATGTCTGGAAGAATCGGGCTGACCACTGTTGGAAACAGAATACTGGGGCAACAAGAAAAAAATGACCCATGTGTTTGTGCCAAGCATCTGCCAGGCCACAACACTTTCTTGGTGGATTGAGGGTTGGGCCTCTGGTTGGTGGAGCAGAGGAAATTATTAGGGAGATCTATTTAGCGGAGAATCCTCCGTTCGAAACAAAAAGCAATGGCGGATCTTTATGCCGCTTAATGCAAACCAGGCCCAGGTTTTGAGATGTGGAACGCAGGGAGTGGCTTGAATTTCTGACTCACTGCAGCCAGGGACTGGCAAAGCTTGCGGTATGTGAGTGCATTTTTCTCTGTCTCTCTCTCTCTTTTGGCCTGGGTGTGTGTGTGTGTTGATTCGCCTTCTTCCTTTCACGGAAGGGAAACCTTGTCCTTCACTTGCAGCTTGCCAGAAGAGCTTAAAACCAGTTAACCCATTGCGCAGAAGCCTTTAGCTGGATTATTTTGCCTTTTGTTTTGGAGAGAAGCTGGCGAATTGGCCGTGCCACCCGGAAATTTAGCAGGGCTTAAAACCAAATTGCTGCCGTTTGGCATCGGATGTTCCTGCAAAGCAGAGTAAAAAAAAAGTCTACTCCTCCTTAAATCGGTGGTTTAATCTCATAATCTCGGCAGTCATGTCTCATTGGCTGGAAAACTGGAAGGGAGGGGAAAGATCTCCTTCTCCCCAGCAGTTGGGCAGGCCACAAAAAGGTTTGCTAGGTGACTTTCCCAGTACATTCCTCCCCCAGTCAAGGGAGTGGTTCTTTTTTGTATAAACCCAATCTTCCATATGCTGCTGGCATGTCGCCTAGCCATGCACTAATGCAACTATCCCTGCCAAATATCTATACTCCCGCATTTGTCTTGAGTTGTGCTATTTGGTTACTGTGTGCTGGGATCCTTGACACACAATTCCCCAGTGGCTTGGCTTCCTCTCACATCCTCTTTACTGCAGCTAGTATCTCTTCTTGGTTGCTGTGCCCTATGAATTAATGAAGCTGCCTTTTATTGAATCGGACCCTTGGTCCCTCTGTATTGTCTACTCAGACTCGCAGAGGCTCTCTGGGGTCTCAAGCAGAGGTTTTTCACATTCGCCTAGTGCTTGGTCCTCTTTAACTGGAGATGCTGGGGACTGAATCTGGACCTTCTGCGTGCCAAGCAGAGGCTCTACCACTGAGCCATGGCCCCTCCCCTTTGTGCTTCCTTCCTTTCTTGCTCTTCCTGAACAGTCTGCAGTTACACCCGATACGAAGTGTGGCTCCAGGCAGGCCTAGTGGCAAAGTTTGTTCTTCAGAGTTTCTGGTGGTTATGGCACCAACCGTGTTTAGCGTGTTTCCTGTGGCTGGACTCCAGCATTCACTGAGCGTGGTAATGAAAAGAGAACTGTCTGAGCATGTGCAGAGCGCCCGTTCCAGTACCAACTGGAACCAAGTTTTCCCTTCCACTCCCAGCAGGA